AATTCGCAACAAGACTGATTCCACATGGTAACGCTACCGTGTGCCAAGTAAATCAACTAGGCGAACCCCCTGCTAGTTTGTAAAAATCACCACTCGGACGTCCTGAACTATGCCTTTCCTGAACAGGACAGGTGTACAAAGAAAATTACGGTTAGAGAGGACTGACCATTTCCAAAACGGGTGGCATCTCATCGGGATCTCTCCATTTTAGCTTTCTTACAGGTTCGAAGCATTTTGAATCGAGAGCCGTGTCCTGCAACGTGATAAACTGCATCGATAGAGATTTTAGTAGCAAGCTAGTGATTACCCGAATATATCCTTTTTCCTTGGCTTTTGCCACATACGAAATCAAGTCCATCTGGTTGATCCTCACCGATTTCTGAAAAAACTTCTACTACAGAGGAAAAAACTAAAAAAACTTCAAAGTTGAGGCCCGTTTAGAGCATTTATAAATATTGCGGCGCACCTCAGCGCTAACATAGTTGGGAGTCAAATGGAGAAGACGTACTCTCTACTGACAATAAGCCCTAGTGGAAGGCGTACGGAGACGCTGACGAATGGTCTCCCCCGCACCCTCCCCCTTCCCCAACTACGTTAGAGCCCGCACCTGTGTGTGCATAAGAGCGCTTTCGTGCTTCGCGATCCGATCGGTTGGATGGCGCTAAACGCTCGAGCGTTTGAATTGCGCGGTCGGACGACGAAGTATGAACGTCCTCTGATTAATAAACAAATATCGGAACAAATCCCGTACCACAATCACTTACGTCAAGACGCTCAGCAACTCTGCGGATGCTTTGCAGTACACCGGAAGAGACTGCAGTGTCGTAGGGTCTAGTTCGAGCACATGTTCCTTTATTTGTCTTGGGAGTCAGCTCCGATGGTATTTCAGGGAAGCTTCCTCGTGTAGCAATCACTTCGTCGTAGAGCGATTGGGCCTAAAAGAAGAAACAAATACTGAGGTGCAGGTGGTCGTGAGGGGGCGGCACGACTATGCTACGTCATATCTGCTTGCCTGCGCCCTCTCATCGAACAGCAAAGTGGCGAATTTTGAGAATACGTTCACAGTTCGCAATTCGAGCTGTCCGATCACGGAGTATGAACGCGCTCTGAAGATTTGAAAAGGCGTAGCAATACGGACTATGACGTGGCATAGACATGCCATCGAGTGGGACCCTACCCCTCCCCCCTTCCCCAACTATCCCTGTCCCCGCATATTGTAGCTGAGAATGAACATGGTGTTTTAAAAAAAATCAGAATTTCTCACCGTGTCTTGAAAATGCTGCATACAAATATATCGTCGACGTTGACGAAGTTCCGTGTAGAAATCCTTTGCACGTTCTTCATCGCACATTCCTAGTCCTGTTGTCAGAGCCACGAAAATAGCCGAATCAACAGCCTTCCTACTGCTTCTCTTTGAGTCCGCAATGTCGCCGAATTTATAGCAAACTCCGGCAAACATAGCCAACCATACCTGACGAAACGTTCATAAGTCGCGACATCGCGCAGTTCTGAGCCTAGCGGCAAAGCGCGAGGCAGCAATTTTTAAAGGTCACGCAACTGCCTGAAGATCTGATCAGGGTCCTGCCACGAAAAGCTGGTGCGCAGAAAGATAGGGAACATAGGCTGCTGGCGTAAGGAGGTTGAGCAGGAAGACATTGTGAATGTAGGAATGAACATTTTTGAGGGAGTGAGCTCCGCTGAGGCTGAGCCACCCACTGTGTGTCGAAGTGAGGTGTGCGTACCACTATGGTCTCAAAACACTTCCTAGACAGGAGAGCGCTGACAAAAGCAGAAATGGATGCGGTTCGAAGAACTAGGTTCGGGCAGTTCGCTGATCATTTTGGAAACTGGTCTCGAACAATTGGAAGTGGAGACCAATTTGCCCACCGCCGCTCAGCGGAGCCCATGA